ATATATATACTGTGCATTCTTAAAGTAAAATAGATGCATGACAAAAGTATCTCTCAAAAAATAAAACCCACATTATTCATGGGCTGTTTCTTATCTTATTCCTGTTTGCTTTTTGTTGATGGTGTTTTAAAAAAGAAAAAAAATACTGATTTTATCTTAACAATGCACCTATCCAAAAAAAATCACACTTAAAAAATAACATCACTAAATTGTTCTAATGTTAACATGAACAATGAGGGGTTTATATTTTACAGGAATATATAACTATACTCAAAGTTTGATAAAGACCTGCGAAATTAAAATTTGTTGCTTTTTACACATTATATTGCTACTAATATAAAACTGTGTGCCAGAAATCTAAATGATTTTTTGACCATGTCAAAAACTCATGGCCATGTTTATTCTCTAAAACAGTTTATGTTTGTTTCCGCAGGGATCTGAAATATTCATTGTCTCTGCTGAGGATGGCGATGTAGGAAACCCAAATCCAGTCCGTTACTCATTCGATGAAGGTGAGTCCTTTTTTATAGAATAAAGAAATTAATAAAACGTTTTTAAAAGGGTTTACATTTATGTTTGTCTGACCAGGTGACGATGGCGTTTTTGACATCAATAAAACAAGTGGTTGTATCTCCCTGTTGAGTCCTCCTATTGAGCTGAAGAGAGAAATCTTCAACGTTAAAGTCAGGGTAAAAGTCTGATTTCTTGTTTCAGGATATTTCATATAATTTAATATAGTAAGTTAATATAATATTTTTAAAAGGATGTTAGTCATTTTTTTATCATCTCTGACATGAATATAGTTATAAAATATGCTTAAATCTAAAAGTTGGATGAAATATTGCAATGTTGGAACTCTTCAAAAGGAGATACAAACTTGAATTCTTTGTCCAGGCATCAGAAATAAGCCCTGAAGGAAAACTAATGGACTACAGTGTGACCACAGTAGTGATCCGTGTTGTGGACCTAAACAACAATCCACCCACTTTTTATGGTGAAAATGGCCCGCAGAGCATGTTTGAGCTGACCATGTATGAGCATCCACCAGAGGGAGAAATACTACGAGGGCTGAAGATCACAGTTAATGACTCTGATCAGGTAATTCTCTCCTGTTGTAAAATTGTTGCTTGTAAAGCTTTTATTGCAGCAGGTAATTTTATTCAGCATCAGAAAGGCATCTTATAGCTTTGTTATGTAATAACTCTAATTCTCAAACAATGTGACGATGTTACCTAATCAGCGGTGGATTTACTCGTCATTTCAGGGTTCAGGATGTCTGCCTTGCTGTTTACTCAATGACCTTAAGCTGCCATTCTCACAGACAATCCCTTTATGAATTCATAGTAAACAGAGGCTGAAAAGTGCACACCATTTTCCATATTATGCAAGTGTTCCTATGCTCTTGAAAAATTCCCTATGATTATGCAAGAATCATGTTTTACTTAGAGCTTTTTAAACTGACTGAAGAAAGGAAATCATTGTAAAAAACTTGTGCATGATGACATATCTGTGTGCTCCTGCAGGGTGCAAATGCTAAATTTAATCTGAGACTCATCGGACCAGGAAGAATGCTGCGAGTCGTCCCCCAAACTGTTCTCAACGAGGCCCAAGTCACTATTTTAGTGGAGGAGTCTGCTGCCATGGACTATGAGAAACACCATTTTTTGACATACAAGGTTATATATTTTATACAAGCTTTTATACTGATTACTTGTTTTCTGCAGCGCTTGGCAGTAATATAATGCCTCCATTTTTTGCACATACCATTTTTTATCTATAATTTGAATTTGTTGCTTTTCAGTTACTTGCAGTGGAGGCGGATACCCCTGAAAGATTCAGCGCCACGGCAGACATCATCATCCATCTCTTGGACACCAACGACAACGCTCCCAGATTCTCCTCGGACTACTACATTGCCAGAATTCCAGAAAACTCGCCCGGCGGCTCAAACGTGGTGTCAGTCACGGTGAGCCGCTCTTCATCCCATCTAAAAATACACGCCATCGCTGACGTACGTCATCAGTCAGAGCTAAAACGCTGTGGTGATTTTAACAAAATGTTCAAATGGGGCCATTAATTCTCTAAATGTGGACTGTTTGGGCAGTGGGGGTTGGGATAATATGTAAAATCATGTAGATAAAAGCTAGGCGAGGTAAGCTGCCAGATGGCTATCACTTTCATTTTGTTGTATAACAGCAAATTCCCTGACTTCCCTGTGCCAGTGCTTAGTGGCTCGTACAGCCACTGCACTAAAATATGTCTTGAGGTAGAATGAACATTTCAAAGGACACGCTAAATTGATTGATGTTTGATCTCTCGCCTCCTCTGTCCTTGTCAGATCAGATGAGCACTGCAGGGGCAGGGAGTCTAACTAATAATAAGTTCTGGCACTACGTGAACACCACAGAGGCTATTTGCCTTGATCCCTGGCAATTTCAATCAGATAAAAGAACAGCCAACAAGTGACCTTGGACATATGGAGACAGTGAACAGACATCCCAGCTGCTGCAGACAGACCGATTAGTTGAAGCCCAGGATGTTATTCCAACATCAAAAGTCCCTCTTTTTAAAGGTTTAGCCCTGCAACATCATCACTGTGCACTGATTCATCCAGTTGTTTTCTTTAAAAAATTCCTGACAAATACGACTTTCAATAGGCTGAGATATTACTCCAAACAGAAATAATCAAGCTGCAACGTGATGAATTAACTGAACAGCAAAGAGTAAAAATATGTCCTTTGTTTATTTTATGCATTGATGTGTTTTCATTGCAGGCGGTAGACCCAGACTCAGGACCTTGGGGTGAAGTGAAGTACTCCATCTATGGATCAGGAGCTGAATTGTGAGTATGAGACTACAGCTAATCTTGTTTTGCCAGAAATAACAAAGGAATGACTTTTGCTTTTATTTTATAAATTTGCACTGTCACTTACTGATAACTATGGCACTCAAACAGCATTATTTTACTGCAAGAATAAAGTATTTTAATGAGTGAAGATTTAAAAAATTGATATATATATATAGTGTAAATATAGGCTTGTTGCGAAAAGCAATAAATCAATTAATCGCAGGATAAATTAAAATGAGTTTGATAATTT